TCATCATTGGGCCTTTACGAAAAAGGCGCCAGGGTGACCAGCCGCCAGCCCAGCCAAGAGAGCCAGCCGCCTCGAAGCCGCTATTACAAACCTACCTAGCTGACCCTTGGTCCTTCGGGCACCCCTTGATCTCTGCTACCTCAAGGCCATGGCGTGGCACGCCGAAGTTGAGACTCCCGAGCCTGCCAGACCAGCGGAGCTTTGACCCAATGCAGCAGCCCAGACCATGCTGGAAAGGGCGGCCTGAGCCAGTGCTGAACGGGACCGTCGCCAACTGCCAACTCTCGGTCGCCACCAGCACCGAATGGCGGGGGGGACAACGGGGCGTGGTCCGGACCAGAGTGATACCGGCACCAGATCCAGGGCGGCAGTAACGGCGGCGAAGGCAACAGCAGAGGCAGTAGCGGCGAAGGAGGTGACAGCGGTGGTGATGCGGGCCATGATGCAAGTCGGCACGGCAACAGTGGTGGTGGCTACTTTGGATGCAGCGGCGACAAGTGGAAACACCGGTGACACCCACGGCAGAGGGCCAGCCGCAGGAGGGCACAGACTTGGGACCCACCGTTCTAGCCTTCCTCGATGATGAATAACAAAATATTCTCATGTTGCAGTCTCTGTCGTTCAGTGGCCTTCTTAAGGGGGAAGGATGTGGGGGAGCATGCGCTTCCAGCCTCCCTTTCCCTTTTTACGGCAGCGCGAAAGCCTAATTGCGGGAATACCCCTACAGCCAGTGCTCGCAATTCCCCCTTTCCCCGCGCGGGCTCGCAAAACGGGTTTCCCCTCCCTCAGCGAGAAAAGGTATTGAGTTATAAAATTGAGTTATGCAGGAAAGCCCTTATCTAAAACCATGCTGTCTTGGGTCAAGAAGATTTTAATAGGTTATGTGTGTCATTATGTTGCTGCAAAATCATGCAACTCACAAGTTTCGTTCTCGACTGATGCCTAGTAATATGTAATTTTAAAGGCTATACTTGTCAGGCATATCGGTATATAGTTGACCAGTTCACAAGGACTTCATTTATACACAGGCACATCGCACGCCACTTTCCAGTTGTGTGGCAGGCTTGCCGTTCTCAATGATTTTAAGTATAGAACCTTAAGGAAGTGCGTGATGAATGGGTCACACATTTTGAGAAAATCGCCTCCTAATCCATCTGGTTCTCCTGCTTTGCTAGGGTCTAAGTATTCGAAAGGCACTGAATGCCGTTTTCAACAACAGCTATGTCATCCATATCTGCCATACATCTATTAGTAGGCAAAAGCAAAGTGCTGTTTGATTAAGAGGACGAAAATACGGAGGCAAAATATGTGTTAAAACTGCTGGCCTTATCTAAGCAATTTCCTATTTTTTTACCATCATGTTGAAGCGAGGGAATACACACTCCATCTTTTTAATTACATTTGACAAGATTCCAAAACACCATTTTTGTTGTTTTGAATTGAGAAGGCAGTTTGTTGAAAAATCCTTTTTTCGCTAGACAGATTTTTGCTTGCAGAAGCTTTGTGATTTGTGATGGTTTCAAGTTGCTGACAAGCCTCGTAGGTGGGATTTTTCCTAAACTTTGTATATACCCTGTTCCATTCACTGTTAGGGCACCACAGCTCATTATTAAACCACGACGTGACGTCTGCACCCACGGAGGCATGTAGTTTTCTTGTAGGTCAAGCATTTTTGTTTCAAAAAGGAGCCACAACTCTTGAATGCTGCAAGCACCTGAAAGATGTTTGAACTTCGGAAAGAAAGCTTCCAATGCAAGACCTACCTGGTTTACGTTTCCCTGGCTGTAACTATATATCCTTTTTGATGCTGCTCTTTGAGTCTATTTATATGTTAGCTTCATTTCACACAAAACAGCTTCGTGGTCGCTAATGCCAGGTACCACCAAAACCGTTTTTATCCAGTTTGGCTAATTAGTTAGATATAAGTCCAAAGATATTATTTTGTCTCGTGCTTTGTTTCACCACCTGAGTTGAAGAAAAGCTGTAAAGCATGTCCAACCATTTCTCTTGCACTGGAAGACTGATCATTCTACGAAAGCTCTGGAATATTAAAGTGCCCACCTAAAACAAAATAGTATGAACGGTCTCTAGTGTCTTTGAAAAACCGGTCATGACAGTTGCAGAACTTGAAGGAGGCCTATAAAATGAGCACACTCATAATTTTTTTTCATTTGGCAACCTGATCTTGCATCCCACATCCTCTCAAGTGCCACCACTGAGATCAAGTGCCAAACAAGAAAGCGAACTGTAAATAGGTAAACAGACTCCCTCACCATGATGATTTTTATCGTTTCTGAAGAATGCGTAACATCCTGGAAAAACCTCAGTGTCTCTTACGTTAGCATATAGCTAAGATTCGGTTCCAAGCACAATGCTTGGTTTTACTATGCATAACAGGTAATGGAAATCTTCCACTATGTTTTTTTATCCTACAGCAATCGACAACCAGAAAAGCTACATCTGATATAGAGCTGCGCATGCATCATGTATAGTTTGTAGCCTGGCTGCGACTTTCATCGTACACGTATATTTTCCCATATAAAAACAGTTCATCATTTTTCAGATTTACGCGAACACTGTGAGAAGCATTCCTTTTGAAGAACTTTCTTTTCCTGCGCACTACCCCTGAGAAATATTCCGATATACTAATACTGGAGCCTTCTGGCTTCTCAGCGTTTGATAAGATTCTCTGTTTATCTTTGTATGTTGAAAACACTGCAACAAGCGGTCGAGGTTTGTTATTCTGGTACCGTCCAAGCCTGTGTGCCCGCTTAATCTTCACTGCCTATAGTGCTAAACCGGATACGATTTCTTGAGCTTTCTTCTTAAATGTAGTAGGAAGTTCACAACTTTCACTGTCAGCGACACTATAAATATCAAGTTACATCGCCTGCTGCGGTTTTTCAAGTCATCCAGTTTAGCAGATAAATCCTTTACGATACTAGGCATATCTTCAGTTCTCTTTCTGCCTTCTGTCACAGCTTCTTTTAGGTTTGCAAACAATGCTATTGTGCTTTCCATTGAATCTATTCGTGATTTCAGCTCTTGTATAGCTGTGTTACTTTGATTTTGCAACGTTTCAATAGCATGCGATTTGACCTTTGTGCCTTTCTGACCATAATTTGATTTAGTTAATCTGGCATAGACGGCCCATGGTTTAACTCCACGTCACTACAAAGAAACAAAAGCAAGAAATAAAACGCATATATTCGTAGTAAAACAAAGCGACGTATAGTGTAAGAACACACAACACGGCATTCTAAATCCGTGCTTGAACTACGGGGCGCGACCGGCACCATGAATACATAAAAGATGAAACACCAATTTGAACAACCAATGAACCACAAATTACAAAAAAACTAAAGATTGCGATTAAACTCAAAGTACGTTAAAATCACTTTTAGAGAGCACAAGGTGGCTACCAAAAACTAAAAAGAGCTCATCGTCTCGAGTCACATGAAAATTGTCATCTGGCTGCTTGCCATTGCATTTCACATGAGTTCACTGAAGCCACATGCTCAAAATAAACATGATTGCCAAGCTCTTATAATGAAAGAAATCATCTTACTAAACATATCTTCTCCGCATTGATGAGCTTTCACTTATACCTTTCATATGCGTTTTTCTCAAGATTCATTTTTGGGCAACTCAATGAGTTTGGGCATCATGTTTTTGGTATATTTGATTGATAGTCTGATAGGGATGACATTTAGCCCACATATTTCTTAAGATGTGAAGGATGCAAGTATCTCCTTTAAAACTTGAAACCGCCTGTACAATTATTACAAACCTAAAGTGAACGATTAGGTGAGCTGAGGATTCTCAAAATTCTCACATTGAAATATTCATTGTCCAATAAAGTGAGCAATATGAGCCATTAATGGCCCAGAATGATAGTAGCACAAAAAGCTTGTGCATAGCGAACTATACTTTACACATTGCCATGGCATAAAAGGAAAACTGCACAACTTACTATAAAACTATATTTGAAAAAAAATAAAATATATATTTGAAATAAGCATAAAAGCCTATATGTAGGGCAAAAATTTAATTCCTCAAGGCTACATAATAATGCAACTTTTCTTCGAATCATAAGTTACAAAATGATGAATTGATTTGAGGGCAATATGTTAATTTAATTTAACCTATCTGTTGTTCCATATGTTCATTTAACCCAATGCAGTGTAGACAGGTAAACTAATGAACTTAGGTGCAGTTCGTGCAAGCTGTACTCAAGTGGGCGAAGCAAGGCGCAGGTATATAAAATGGTAGCAAAATGACACAACTGGTGCAATTGGACCTCCACTGACGTCTGTGTTGTCTTGCATATTCAAGTTACACAACATCGTTATTGTCAGTGCTGGTCAACAGCAAAACAGAGTTTGAGGGACACCGATTTAAATTAATAACTTACAGTGAACATGCATACCACATTTCTTTTTTTAAAGTGAACAGTTAGAAGCGGGAACTGCATCGTGAAATGCATGACATAATAAGAGTCATTCAACGTCTCAATATTTCTGGCAAACATGTTCTTAACCGCACCATCACATTCTGACTTGCAATGATCACTGTGAAGGGTGGCAGCTTACAAGATGTAGCTGTACACAACACAAAGGCTGGCAATCACGCGTACTCCAACAAAAGTTCTGACAAGTAATGTTCACAAATATTACGTCTTTCAGAGAATCAGTCTTGGCTCTTAATTAGACCATTCCATTCTACGATTTCAACAGCAAAAGAAGGATTCCGAGTCGAGAACTGTGCTCCTGACATGTTTACTGGCAACATTGTTAAGCGTTGAAATAGTGGCCCAGCATGCGTCAGCAATAACTTTATTTCAGAAATGATCACACATATAGCATCACGCCAGGCCTCCTCCACTCCCACAGGAGCCTTTCTCTTCAAAACAGGAAGTCCAACACTACCCTCCCACAATGAACCAAGAATAAACTTGACCTGGGAAACATAACAATAGCAACAATGATGGCACCACCAACCAGGCTGCTTGGTCCCCACGTGTCGTCGCTTGGCCTCTGACAGCACGTCAATGAGCAAGGTGGCAAATTCCCGAGCCGTCAGCCGAGCCAGCTTCTGCCGAGCCTGTTGGGGTGACATCGCACCAGCGGTTACGCAAACCTTCGGGGCAGCCTCCATCAGAGCACAGCATGCGGGGCCGTGGCCGCTGTCTTAGAATAACAGACAGCTGGGCAGCTAGTCGATTAAGTGTTTGTTTTAAGAGACAGGGCATGCAAACACGAACGCAAGAAAGGAGTGGTGTTCTTACTCCTTTCTTGCATCCGTGTTCGCATGCCCTGTATCTTTTAGAAGGAATAGCCGCTGTCAGTCATCTCATCAAAAAGACAGGTCACTTAACAACTCCCGTTTGAGAGTAGTGGTTTATACCTTTACACATTATGACACACTACTAGCATGGAATGTACAGTGCAGACCACTTATAATGTAGCCGCTTATAGTGCACAACCAATTACAATGCAGTTTTTTTCTACTGCCGCTTGCCCTCCCGCTGAATTCCATGTATACACATACCCCTTATTGTGCAGTCCCCCAAAATTAAGGACTCCTTATGTTGTGATTGTCAAAATATTTTTGCAGTGTTCGTACAGGTTTTCAAAGTGAAAATTCAAGGATATTCAAGGACTAAAAGCGGCATGCAATTCTGAAACTTCATTAGTCTAAATTTTTAAAATCGACTCATTTTTATTGCACTTATATAGTACATGCACATTGCAATTATGACAAACATGTCACAATGAATATCACAATGACTAATCATTTTTAAGTTTAAAAGCTTCTTATCCCAGCTTACACACTCCAAGTATAGTAAATTTTAAAATTCAACATGTTTTACAGGTAATCACTAGCATTCTACTGAAAGGTAAGTACTGTGACTATTTGAAGTTGCTTCCACTTTCTATGAACCAAAAATATTAACATTCGCACATGATTGTTTCAATATGAGAAAAAAAAAAAATAACATTCTGCAGGTTAGTTGAGTCATGACAAATAGGCTCATTTTTTATATAACATCTGTTATATGCTATTCGAAGTTGATTATAAACTTATCTATCTAAATCACTATTCGCACAAGCCTACGAAGAATGCATCAGTGTTGTTAAGGAGACGAATAACAAGACTATGCTACAAAATGTATGAACAATTAGAATTGATGCACTTCGTGCCAACAGGGAGCACACATGAAACATTAGCAGAAGGTGGACAGAGTAGGTGAGCTTGCAGTTCTTTTCATGTATCTTTACTGTGTGTCTCTGTAATGCCTTTTGAACATGTATTGCCTTCAGAATGCCTTCCCAGGGGCTTGACTGACCTGATTTCTCGTGGATGAAAGCTCTGGACTGACCGGCAGAAAAGGCACTGCTTGCCGGTCCAGGTTGGCTCCCAGCCACACAGCCTCGCACTCACGCCGGTCTACTTCGTCATAAAGGTCCCGAGCAAGCTCCACAAACAGCCGTTCGGGCAACTGCAACACGGTCACAAGGAAAGTTACAAACACAGGCCAGCAATAAATAGGCAGCTTCCTCGGGTTCACTGATGTAGTATATTTTAGGTTTAGGGCTCAGTCGGACTTGGTCACTGAAATTCTTCTCAATTGAACTCACTCGGGTTCATGCTCAGCCAGATATTTTTTTCGACCGGATTCACTTGTCTTATGGTCACTGAAATTGTTCTCAATAATATGCACTCAAGCTCAGGGATGTGTTTACTGTTGTAAAACATGTGCTTTTTTGTACTTCACTGTTCCTTTGTTTTTTTTTTTTTTAAGGACGATAGTCTTTCTAGGGGACCTTCGACGCAAAAATTTTGGTCTGCCTGTCTGTCTGTACATATGTCTGTTTGTCCCCTCTTAGTAGCACCGAGTACTTGAGACGACCGACCCCATTCGCAGCGCCCACCAATGTTGCTCAAGGTTTAGCGTTCACACTTGTGCAATTGTCAATTACTAAGCAATTATCACGCAAGTCTGGGACACCATAAAAACACATATATATTCTGCATGTGCATCTTCTACTAGAAAAGGCATACAAAAGTAAATTTAAGACCGTAGCGCTTATCACCCTGCGCTGACCATGCAACGCTTGCACAAAAAAGTGAGTGCTTCCAACGCTTTGCTAAGACACGATGGTGGTGGCACCTACTTGTCGCCTTGCAATCTACACCTTATCACCTCTGAGACGGGCGCGTACACCCGTCTCACAGCCACGCGCTTCGTTTGCCAAGAACACTGCCAGGTGACGCTCATGTCTCACGTGTGACGTGACTTGATGCCCTCATTCGCCTCCGCTGCACGCTCGAGGCACTCTATTGCAGTGCCTCCAAAATACCATTCACCAGTTTTCTTGCATAGAACATCAAATAAATTGTTCACTCTCTCCACACGCAAGACTGTCGTCTTTCGACGACATTTGCAGATTACATGTAGATACAGGGCCAATTTTTTCTCTCCTTTTCTTGGGTCATGCAAAATTACGCATGCAGCCCAGAAATAAACTGCTGTTAGCACACATTGCCATGCGTGTCTTTCCTGTGTTCACGTCGTCTAATTCCCGGCCGCATGAACGGGGGTATCCTTTGCCACTGAGGTAAAAAAGTGACAGCAGCTTGGGAATGCAAACAACTGGATGGCACATAATAAAGCCAATAGCACTGCGAGAGTCGCCATTCATGACTAGCAGCATTCATTATCATGAAAGAAGGTCGCAAGAGATATTTCTTGGTATAAGTTTGTCTAAGCCACCACAGTGCAGTCACTGACCTGAAATCCAATGCAATAACGCTATCCATGGAAAAACCCCTGCCACTGCACATGATGCCAGAAAGCGTCACCCTAGATGTAGTCCAAGGTTACGTCATTATTTTACCTCGTTGAAGAGTCCCCATTTCTGAGGCCAATGAAAAATCCGCTAACACAGCAGGTGTAACAGAGGGCGACCAGCGCCCCTTACTCTACCGTGATTTGCATCGCCATAGGCTTGTATCTGATCTGCATGGAGTGAGCGCGAAAGAAGCTGCCGCCCCTGACAGCCACAAATACAAGCAGATTAACAAAGGCCCACATGATATCCTAGACGAAAGAAATCGTGCAGGCCAGTGACACTTTTACCCTCATGGCCTTTACCAAATCTAACCAAACAATCAAAGTTCTCAAATTAGCCTTTGACGGCAACTCAAATCTTCCATCGCATAAGACCACAAGAGTCTGCTCCGACAGTACAAAGACTGCTTCTCACCCTCGTCAAGGAATCACCAAATCCTTGTTGCTAAACACGGCGTTATAAGGAAATAATCTGCCCCCACTGCAATGTACGGGCCCATCACGAGTTTCCACATTTGAATTAAAGGATGGATGGATGGATGGTATGTTAGATAATGATTTGAGAAACTCTGATGGCGCCTCAGCAGGCGTGCTGTAGTTGGAAACAATACATCTGCCTGGGATTTGTTCAATAAGTAATTCTATGGAAACCTTGTGAATGTTCAGAAGAAGGTAGAAATAACCTACATGCTTAGGCATGAAGGAAAAACATAACAGGCGATTAATTCTTGAGTTCCAAAGGAGGCCAAATATTGAAAATGTTTGCCCAGAGGATTTTCTATCTCTTCGAGTTTCTGTCTTCCCTAACACTCCCATTAAGGCCCTTCTGTCAAGCAGCAACACTGTCTTCTTTTGCCTTCGGTCCTACAGCAGGTGCATGAGTGCGTCTTCGACTTGATTAACACCATTTCCCCTTTTCTCTCTCTCTTAATGGGGAGAATTTGTTAGCACACCAAAGTTACTCCAACTACTCACTTTTTATTTGATGTTACTGACATAATAGTTCGCTTATTGGGTTTATTGACTCAAGAGTGACTCAGGCTGAGCTACGCTAAACACAAGGCACCTAGTGATAACCAGTATATATATTTCCCACTTTTTTTTTAGGAAATTGATAACATTAGACAGTGGAACAAGTGAATGATATCCTAAAATTTGATTCAGGTGCATCAGTGTGTGGTGTTTGTATAATGGTGTGAAAAGTTTTCATCTTTCTGTTTCAATGTATGGACAAGTGATTAAAATATGGCTTAATGGCTGTTCACAATTTTTATATTCTTCATTTCATTTTCATTTTATTGAGGTTGTTATGACTACATTTCAAGAAATTCACAACACTGATTACACCCATAGCCATAGGCTAGTAGGAGATCTAACAGGAGAAAGTATACAAGCAGAATACAATTTGTATATAAAAAAATCAGGACATCAAAAAACGTTGATTTTTCAAAAAACAAACAAAAATACAAGAAGATATCATTGCGATTTAAGGTGAAGTAAATGCTCAGAAATGTATATAGAACACATTGTTGCACTTTGTTCATAAATAATGAAATAATCAAGAACAGACAAAACATCAAACTATGTGTAAGGCTTAGTACATGGTCATTACTATTGATCTACATGTAGCAAATATTTTTTTAGTGCACTCGAGAAAGCCTTAGAATCTGTAATCTGAAGTCGTATGTTATTCCACAATTTAGCTCCTACGAACTGTAGTAAGCGAGGGCAAGTCTTCTCTTCTAGATAAAAAGTTGTGGGTGAGGCGAGTGTGCCCAATGCGGAATCGGCATAGGACAACGTCAATGAACTGTTCATGGTGAGCACATGACTTCCATTGGCATTGGCACGTGGGGACGAGTGAGCTGGGCGCGAGTGAGCTAGTGCAGTGCGAAGAATGCAAGCTCTGGTGCTACTTGTACGAGACAGCATTTACGAGTTTGGCAAACACACAAAAGGTGAGCTTCGTGTGCAGGCTGTGCGAGGCACTGAAGGCGGCGGAAGCACAGGATAGAACTCTAAAAATAGCCCGGAGCGTCGCGTGAGTGGCAGGAGGCTACCACCAGCCTAATAGAGCAAATAAAGGGCGACCTTCGAAAAGAACAGGAAGGGCAAAGAGAGCTTGAGTAGCGGGTAAAGGTGCTACTGGCGCTTTACCCTGGCCCCGAGCAGTGTGACACGGAAGGCATGGGTAGAGGAGAAGGCGACAGGCAGGAAGGAACAGGCGAGAAGGGAGGTCAGGGGGCCGCAGTGTCTGGCCACAGCACAGAGACTCCGAGAACATACAGCTCGGTGGCGCAGCAGTCTTCGAGCAGGGCAGAAACACAGGACAGACGGCAGAGAGAGAAACAGGTGAAGCAAACAGCGGCGCCATCAAAAACAGGAAGCCAGCGATTGGAGCGTAGAAGGGTCCTGGTGGTGAGGGACTCTAACGTAGCCAGGGTTAGGGATTGCGTCTTCAAGACAGTGAAGGAAAATTGGAGAGTCAGGGTGGAGGTCCAGTCAGGGAAGAGCATGGTGGATGCATTGGCCAAAGCTCAGGAGGTAATGGAGGACAGCATGGAGGGCGAAAATCTCATCATTATTCATGCTGGTCTCAATGATGTGTTGAAGGGCAAGGATCAGAACCTTCAGAGACAGAGGATGGCATGCGTAAGCTCCAAGACGCCTCTGGGAGTGTGCATGTAACCATATGCACAGTCCCAGAGGTCTGGTGGCAGTCTCGTGGGATTTAAAGGAGGGTAGTGGAGGCCAACTGTGTGACCAAGGGTATGAGCAGGCAAGTCGGATACAGCGTAATGAAGGTGAACCAAGACGTGTACGAGCCCGGCGCTCGACTCTTCGTACAGGATGGCATTCATTACAGATGTGCGATTGGCAGGAGGGTTGGTAATAAGATGGGTCATCAAGCCACAGCTTTTTTAGGAGGACCCAGAGCCCTGAGGCCAACAATGTAGCCAAAGACGGCTCTAAAGGGGCACCAATATTCAAGCCACACGGGGCTCGTGGGAGAGGAAGTCAACTTAAGCACAAGAGCCGAGCTAAGCCAGACATAGGCTATAATAACATGCAGGGTGGCAGGAATAGATTAAAGTGGGAAGAGATAGAAGAGCAGTTGAGACAGGAGGAGCTGATTGTATATGTGGTTGTGGAGACACATCTTCAGGACATGGAACAGCCATCTTGCAATCCGGACTACGTATGGGAATATTGTAATAGAACAGAAGGCAGCAGAAAGGGGAGTGGTATTGGGGCATTCATACATAAAAGTATGGGTCGGCAAAGAGTCAGGCAGGGATGCATGGAACATTTATGGTTAAGAGGGAAAGTAGCTGGGCAGATGACACTCCTTGGTTTGGTGTATTGTGGACGGGAGCAAAGGCCAGAAAGGAAAACCCGACAATGGTGGAGTGTATATCAAAGGACATTCAGGAGTTAGGAGGAGAGTGCGAGATAATTATACTAGGAGATATGAATGCACACATAGAAGATATAGACGGGTATACCAACCCAACAAGCAAAATGATCATGGATATGTGTGAAAGGCATGATTTGATCATTTGCAGCAGTATTGAAAAGTGTGAAAGGCAAATAACATGGGAGGTAGTGAGGCTGCAGTCGACGATAGATTATGCACTGATGTCACA